TGCAGGTGCCACCAAGTTGGGTGGGAGCGTTGATCTGCTTGAAGGTAGGAAGGCTCTGCAGAGGGAGCTGGACAGGCTGGATCGATGGGCCGACGCCAATTGTATGACGTTCATCAAGGCCAAGTGTCAGGTCCTGCACTTGGGTCACAACCATGCAACGGTACAGGCTTGGGGAAGAGTGGCTGGAAAGCTGCCTGGCGGAAAAGGACCTGGGAGTGTTGGTCGACAGCTGGCTGAGTATGAGCCGGCAGTGTGCCCAGGTGGCCAAGAAGGCCAATGGCATCCTGGCCTGTATCAGAAATAGTGTGGCCAGCAGGAGCAGGGAAGTGATCGTCCCTCTGTACTTGGTACTGGTGAGACTGTACCTCGAATACTGTGTTCAGTTTTGGGCCCCTCACTACAAGAATGACATTGAGGTGCTGGAGCGTGTCCAGAGAAGGGCAACAAAGCTGGTGAAGAGTCTAGAGCACAAGTCTCATGAGGATCGGCTGAGGGAACTGGGGTTGTTTAGCCTGGAGAAAAGGAGGCTGAGGGGAGACCTTATCGCGCTCTACAACTCCTTGAAAGGAGGCTGTAGCAAGGTGGGTGTTGGTCTCTTCTCCCAAGTAACAAGCGATAGGAGGAGATGAAATGACCTCAAGTTGTGCCAGGGGAGGTTTGGATTGGATATTAGGAAAAATTTCTTCACTGAAAGGGTTATCAAGCACTGGAACAGGCTGCCCAGGGAAGTGTTTGAGTCACCATCCTTGGAGGTATTTGAAAGACATGTAGATGTGGTGCTTAGGGACCTGGTTTAGTGGTGGACTTGGCAGTGTTAGGTTATCAGTTGGACTCGATGATCTTAAGGTTGTTTTCAAACTAGATGAGTCTATGATTCTATTCTAATATAAGCTATTGCTGCAATATTTGAAGGAAGTAATGAAGATCCAAAGGAATAAACTGCGTACTACGTACACTTGTATGTAATGATAAGAAACTAGAAGGCTATGTAAGAGATACTATCATGGAATCTTCTAGTCATATTTGAGATTATCTATAACTGGGTAGATTGACCAGCCACCATGAACTCAGATGCTAGGAACACATTATTATACTGTTTTTCAAATGCCCAAAGTGCTGGCACTGAGTGGCCGTTACTTGGACATGAAGAGTCATAGATGAACAGCCGCCTTTCTGGGGCTGAGATTGAGACACAGCATAGCTGCAAAATATTCATTCTGGTTTTGATGCAGCTGTGTTTCATTGGCAGTATAAATCCACACTTTGTTTAGCCAATTGACAATTTGGGCATGGGTTTCTAAATGGGTCTTAACTTTCTTGCATATTAATTTAGTATTTTCTTTATTATTAATTTCTTGCCTTAACTAGAGAGATTGTTCTGGTGCAACTAGATAAAATAGCTTGAATTCTTCAATGCTTCAGATATCTAAATTCTTATAAAATGTTGCCATGCATCTTGTTGGCTTCAGTAGGTGTGATGAAGCCGTTTATCCTAGATTCTATACTTTATGCTGACTTGCATAGTGTATCAAATGAAATTTCTGATTGTGGTTCTTTTCTCAAGCAACTTGTTTTTTGTGCTCTAAAGAAACATCTACAGTTCTAAAAAAATAAAGGTGGTGCTCAACAACTTATGGGTGAAAGAGAACTTTCATACTTTGGCTGAAGAGTATGGGAAGAGTCTAGATCCGTAACAAACCACTACTTGCACTTGATATAAGGTATGCTTTTCTCCCACTAGCTTTCCACAGAAACAACCTGTGTCTGTAAAAAGAATGAATCATCTTCCTGGAGGTAGGGGGTAAGACTAAGGTAGAGAGCAATCTTGTGAGATGCTAAATGTAGCTTAAATCTTTTACTGGAAAGGTGTTCGGGGTACTACAGTGAAATGTGGTCTTAGAATCTATATAGAGCTTCCTTAACTGGGAAAAGGCTTTATTCTGGTTTCTACAATTAGGGAGGCATGAGTTCTGCAGGTGACTATTTTCACCATTGCATAATGTTCTGTCTTTGGAGCAGATGCATGAAATAGAGATTGGTAGGTGGCTATATAATTAGATATCTATTATAATATATATGGTATGCAAAATAAAACTTGTAATCAATGTTAACTTTAGCGTTTGAGTGCTTGACTTGGCAGCTTTGACAGGTTCTCTTTCTAGGGTATGGTTATGTGTCATTTTGTAAACACAATAGTTGTTTCAGAACCTCTGGATTCATTGCTCAGATCCACCTCTAAATAAATCAGAAATAGGAGGATATCAGTTTGCTAGTGAGCTTTTAGGAATTACTTGAAAGCTAAGAAAGAGGCATGGAAATAATTAGACACTAATCTTGTCTGTCCAGCATCCCTTCACCAGATTGTCATTTTAGCCTCCCCATCTCTTCCCCAGCTCCTTATTTTGGGTTTTGTGGAAGTGAAGGTTCTGAACTTGTGCATACACTCAGTTTGAATTTGTCTTTGAGGGGTAAATCTGTTTGCTTCATCAGCTGAGAATGTACTATCTGCATTCAGCCATATAGGGGTGCCCTGAAAATCCCTGCTATAGATTTGGTTTCAGCATTAGTGCTCTCTGTCAGTAAGCAAGAGGAATTGGAGGCAAAGTTCTTTATAACTCTAAAGTATTAGTTAGATCATAGTTAAGTATACACAAATTACTCTCATTTGATTGATAAACCTCCCTGTGTGGACTGAAATCACAGCTGGATTAAGCAATCTAAATTTACTGAGGCAAAGCTAAACTTGAACAGTTTCTCACATGCGGGACAAAATGAGTATGTTCCTATAATAACAGAATTTTCTTAAATTTAAATTTTTTCTTAAATCTAAAAATCATATTCTATAACCTGATTGTGCTATACTGCTTTATAAAATAATTACAAAAAATACCCTTTCTGGAAAAAACAAAGTAAACTCTTATATTCTTCTCAGAAATACCCAAATGTTCCAGGTGAAATGAGCCCTATGTGTCAATGACCAGTATAGGGAATTCCAATGTCTGTTAATTCTGCTTCCAAGTTGAGCATCAGCTTTGTGTAGTACATCATTAAGCAACCTACAACACCTAAATGTCGAATGGTATGCTGTGATTAAATAGTAACATTTTATTTAGCATATTCCTTTGATTCAGCAAAAGTAAATCATTTCTCTCCTGGCTTTGGCTACAGCTCTTCCTATGAGGAACAGGAGAAGTGTCAGCTCTGCTGTGTTCTTGTTTGCTTGCATTACCAGGATTATCTTCCATCTGCGGTTTCTTTGCAGGAAGCTCTCTAAAGTCCGTTTTGTGAGGGGTAGTTTAGTTAAAACAAGACCATAGAATCCATAAATCCACTTAAGCAGATACACATAAACTGCACTATGTGGCAATACACTGAAAGTGAGCAAATGAAGGAGGGCACCCCCGTGAACCCCTCTGTGCTGTGGACACCCACTCTTCCCCCAGGAGAACTTGGTACCATGCGTGACATGGGATGATCTGATGTACAAAGTGAGTGGGAACGCTGGTGTCAATTTGTATCTTAAATGTTATTAAAACAATTTCTCTCTTGGTCTTTTTGGATATAAACTAAATATAAATAGAAGCTCTGCTAGTTCCTCCCCACACCCCAGGGGATATTCTTGCTCACTCCTGGGGTTCATGCACCCCATGTTGGAGCCCACAGGACGAGAAAACTGAATTGAGGCACAATCTGTGTGTCCTCTGCAGGAGACCACGTTACAAGCGGCCAGAAGTTTTCAACACCTGGCTCAGTACAAATGATGTCCCCAGCTCTGGCTCAGCCTTTTTAACAGTAATGATTTTGTTGGGTACATTTTGTGCGTTTCCACCTCTGAACCTTACTCGAACTCATGTTCCCACCTTGGGTTGCTTCTACATGACTTTATGCAATCTTGGAAAGCTCTCGACTTAGATGAAAGATCTGGGTTTTCTTAGAATCTGAGCCTGATTTTTACAAGAAATCATGTAATTGTTTGTGGATCAGTTGCCCCTGCTTTGACTGGTGAAATATAAACGCAATCTGGGATCCGGCTGTAAAAACAGGACAGCACAACTGGAAAGGGTTTCTTACTGAGACAGTTTATTTCCAGATGTCTGACACTCTACTGGCTGGGTACCTAGTGTGTCTACTTGATCTAGTCTAATGGGCAGTGGGGTCCCAGCTGGGCACCTACAGCAGCAGGGTTTGGGCTGCAGGTGCAAGCTGGGCAGTGAGGGGCGGCTGGGATTTTGGTGTGCGGTGGCCCTGGCATGGCCAGAGGGGAGGCTGCTGCCAGCATGGACAACCATGGGAAACCATGGGTGCCAGAAGGGAGGCGGGGCAGCCCTGGGGGCCTGCAGAGCTGCTGTGCCTGTCTGCAGGGGTGGAAAGGCGGGAAGCCCCAGCCCTGCTGTGCAAGGTGTCCAGTTGTTTATGTGAGGTGTGCCGGGGCTTGGTGAGGGAGCAGGTGCAGCAGAAGCAGCCTGCTGGAGGCCAGGCGGGGCCTGGCTGCGCTGTGGTGGTAAAAGGGAGGGGGCACAAGGCTTGACAGCAGCGGCTGCCCCCCAGGCTGCTTGTTTGGGCTTCCTGTGGGGCGGTCTTCCTTCAAAGCCAGGCCTGGTGAAAATGCAGCTGTTGCTCTCCTCTTGTGGCCAACTCTTCGCTTGCCCCTCTTGAGCAGGTGGGGATCATCTCTCTTGAAGTTGGAGTTCTACTGGAAGAGTAGCTAAAACATGCAAAAGAAGAAGAGTCAGTTGCCAGCCTTTGGCGACGGGAAAATGCCAAGATAGGAGAACTGAGCCTTGTAATGGCAGGAGACCAATGTGGGTCTTGAAAAGGGCTACTGGGCATTTGAAACTTAAAGGTTATGCTCTGGTTCAGTTAAGTACTGGCCATCCTTGCCTTTTCACCTGAGAAATCACCTGAGAAAGAACTCAATCTCTGAACATTTCCTACCCTCCTCCTCCTTTCCTCCATTGCCAAGGCTTACGTTACTCGAAGGTGAAACTTTTGCGCTGGAATCATTCTGAGAGTTGGTTCATGGAGTGATGTACCTTGCTGTGAGCAGAAGGTGCTGCTGCTTCTGCCAGGAATTCATCAAGTGAGTCAGATGTTTTGGAGTTGTGTTGCACTTTAGTGAATCTGCAGAGGTGGAGCTGACGAAGGAAGCTTTTCATGCTGTCAGTTTCAAAAACTCTGCAAGGTCCTCTCCGTGCCAGCACTTCCTTTTGGAAGGCTTCTTCATTGATCACAACACAGATGCCATCATCAACCCACCGAATGGACTGAAACTGGTGGCTTTGGACAATTTTCCAGAGTTTCTTTGGAAAAGCGTGGGATGCAAAGTCATCAGCTTCGCCAGAGCTCTCCTCCAAAGAAATGGGATGGACCCTATTGGTCCTGTGGTTGTTGCTGCAAGCTTGGAAATGCTTTTCTTCCTTGATGGATGCTAGATCAGCATCACAAGGTGCTCTTTTGTCCCATCCTGGAGGGACAGGAGAAGTTGAGTCTGCCAACTCAGTGAGCTTGTCCGGAGCAGAAGCAGATGTTATTTCTCCTGGAGACGGCTCCCTTTCAAACTCTCTTGTCAAGGTTAGACCAAAGGGGTGCCTAGCCATAGGCATTTCCCTGGGCAGCTGGGCTTGGTCCTGCCAGACAGCAAGCGCCAACAAACTGGCACTGGCTGGCTGCGGGTGCCGAGGGAAAGTTCTCAACCGTCACCGTGATGCCTGTGCTGCATGGTAGCGACATCACGGCCTGGCAGCCGCGTCCTGGCATGCTGCAGCAGCAAGAGAAGAAGCTGCTGAATAGCGGTTGTTGCTTGTCACTTCCAGAGCTGCAGGTGTTTGGACTCAAGAGTCAAGCAGTAAATCCAACTGTCTTGCAATGCTGTAGGCAAGGCCAGGGCAGTGCTGTGTCCCGTTGGCTGTAGGAGCTGGCGGCCAGGGAGGAAGAGAGAAGGCTGCAGCATTAGGCATCAAAGTGCCCCACTGTGGAGGCTATCCAGTTGGGCACCTCTCCCACATGCAGAAATGTCCTTGCCCTCTTTGCTGTAGTGCTGGCTTTGGAGCTCCCGCCTGAGAGCCTGCTTGAGCAAGAGTTGTGATGGGCAGGGTTGGGGCTGAGCCAGTGCCCGGCCTGCTGGGTTAGTGGGGTGTCTCCTCCTCTGGACATGGCTTGGCCTTGGGCATGTGGTGCCCAGAATAGCTCCCTTCTGGCCTCCTGTATTTCCCTCTGGGTTCTCCAGCTGTGCGTGGAAATGCACTTCCCAAGCAGTGCGGGTGAAGGGAGATCAAAATCTCTGCCCAGTTCCTCCTCATTTCTTCTCTAGCCTAAGAAGGGGTCTGTCATTTCAGTAGCACTCCTTCTGCCCTGGGCAGTCCCTGTACCCAGGTGATGCTCCCAGATTTCAGCAGTCTCCCGTGGCTGCTCTGTAGGAGCAACTGGAAGTAAAACACCAAATACACTTTGCAAATGACACAAACGGGAGACATGGAAACCCCCCATTTCTTTGAATGGGTTCCTATGCTTTTATTTTATATTTAAAATTCAGGAAGCAAATGAACAAAGTCAATTTTCTGTCAACCTTCTGAGTCAACACCCTTTCTACTGGATCAAGTGTTTTTTCTGTAAAGGACAGATTTGATGTACAACCAGTGGGAATCAGCGCTTCTGTTCCCTTCAACATTTGGATCAGTCCCTGGGAGGTTTGCATAAATCTGGCCTAAATATTTGACAATAAAGATAAAGACAACTAAGCCTTTGGACCCTCTGGGCAGAGCTAACTGATGGGAGTTTAGGCAGAATAAGGAGGGTGACCTCCAAGTGCTGGAGCATCCCTGAAGGTCTGGCCCAGGCAGATGCAAGCTGCAAATCAGCTGGCCTTTGCTGTTACCCTGCAGTGCTGTTCAACTCAATAGCCTGGGAAAGAAGGGCTGTGTCTGTGGGCTGAGAAAACATGGGTGGCCAAGTCAAGAGGACACAGCTAGGGACAAGTTTGTACCAGCCACTGCAACAGTAACTAGTACAAAATCTGTATAAAAATAATAGCTACTACTGAGAACTAGAACAAATAATTGCCTGATGTATTGGCTTTACTGAAGTTCTTCATGCAAACATGACCGGCTAGAAGGAATATTGAGGAACAAGGCTTTGACCATGGTCTGGGAGAACATGTCTTCTCTGGTCCATCTTTCCTGCAAGCTTGGAAATCCTTTTCGTTCTTTATAGATGCTAAGCATCACAAGCTACTCTTTTGTCCCATCCTGGATGGACAGGAGAAGTTGAGTATGCTGCCTCAATGATCTCATCAGGAGCAGAAGCAGATGATGATCCTTCTCTCCTCACCAGCAGGCTTAGGCTGCAACCCTGATGGTCACTCAAAGTAACTGGTGGCTATGCAGCCTACCCAGAATTTTGAGGTCTCCAGGGAATTAGACTTAGAAGGTCAACATCTTTTGAAAGAATAATCATTTTATAAGTAAGTAGGCCATTTTTTTCTGAGAACTGTGAGGAGACTGTGTCCTGCTGACAGAAAATGGTTTCCACCTGCTGCAACTGCAAGGCTGAGGCTGAAACCCAAACAGAAGCACTAGAGCCTACCTATGCTGACATCTCTACCCAGACAAAACCTCCCAAGGACTCAAATACCTGTCCAAACCTTAGGTTAGGTGGAGCTCCAGCATCTAGAAGTCCCCCTAGCACCTGAAGGCCACAGTGGATGTCATAGCTGGGAGTATGCCCAGCTAGAACTTTTCAAACAAGAAGCTAAGTTACCAGAAGAGCTCAGCAGGCAGTGCAGCATCTGGGACCATGAGCAGGAGATCTATACATTAGAACCAATGCCACCAGACAAGCATGTGAAGTATTAGCAATTGGAGATTCCTTACTGAGAGGCAGCAAAGCACCCATTTGCTGTCCAGACAGCTTCTCTAGGGAAGTTGGCTGCCTACCAGGAGCTCACCTTCACGATGTCACTGAGAGGCTGCTGAGCCTCCTGAACCCTACAGATTACCATCCCCTCCTACAATTCCATGTAGGCTCCAATGATACTGTGACGAGGCAACTTAAAACCATCAAAAGAGACTATCCATCCCTTGGAGCAATGTTAAAAGGATCAGGAGCACAGGTGGTCTTCTCTATCTTCCTAATCAGAGGTAGGGGTTTAGGAAGGAGGAGATAAATTGGACAGGTGAATGCCTGGCTGTATGGCTGGTGCTGTACTCAAGGTTTTGGCTTCTATAATCTCTTGATTCCCACATGTAAGAAATCAGATGAGGAAGGCAGGAGACCAGAATGGCTCAGGAAGGACCTCTTGGTCAAACTAAAATGTAAGAAGGACATGCACAGGCAGTGGAACGAGACACGTGTATCCTGGGAAGAATATAGGGACCCTGCCTGGATGCGTAGGGATGGAATCAGAAAAGCTGAGGCACAGCTGGAGCTGAATTTGGTGAGAGAGGAGAAGAGGAAGGAGAAGAGGAAGGGGAAGAGGAAGGAGGAGAAGGAGAAGGAGAAGAGGAAGGAGAATGAGAAGAGGAAGAGGAAGGAGAAGGAGATGAGGAAGGAGAATGAGAAGAGGAAAAGGAAGGAGAAGGAGAAGAAGGGATTTTACAAGTACATTGGCCAGAAAAGAAAATGTACAGAGAGAGCAGCCCTGCAGAGAAGGACTTGAAGATATTGGTGGATGACAAATTGGACATGAGCCAGCAATGTGCGCTTGCAGCCCAGAAAGCATCCTGGGCTGCATAAAAAGAAGGGTAGCCAGGAGGTTGAGAGAGGTGATTCTCGCCTTCTACTCAGCTTTTGTGAGACCCCACCTGGAGAACTGCATCCAGCTCTGGGGTTCCCAGTATAGGAAACAGTTGGACCTGTTGGAGCGGGTCCAGAAGAGGGCCACAAAAATGATCAGAGGGCTGGAACACCTCTGCTATGAAGAAAGGCTGAGAGTTGAGGTTGTTCAGCCTGCAGAAGAGAAGGCTCTGGGGAGACCTTATTGCAGCCTTGCATTATATAAAGTGGGCTTATAAGAAAGACAGGGAGAGACTTCTCACCAGAGCCTCTAGTGACAGGACAAGGGACAATGGTTTTAAACTGAAAGAGCGAAGGTTTAGACTGGCTAGGAGGAAGATGTTTTTTATGATGAGGATGGTGACACACTGGAACAGGTTGCCCAGAGAAGCTGTGGATGTCCCATCATTGGAAGTGTTCAAGGTCAGGTTGGATGGGGCTTTGAGCAACCTGGTCTAGTGAAAGATGTCCCTGCCCATGGCAGGGGGGGTTGGACTAGATCATCTTTAAAAGTAATTTCCAAACCAAACCATTCAGTGGTTCTGTGAAAGTTAGGGCTCAAACTTCTATTTCACAGTTGATGGTAGTTCAGATTCTGTGCTGGTGGAATTTTTCCTTTCCAGTTTGCAATAGCAATTAGCTAAGTCTTCCAGAAAAAGAAATGGTAAATTCCAGTCTGAATCCTGGGGTGTTTGTATTTATGCTAAACTAATTTTAGATGTTGTGTTTTCAGGTATCTTGTAGTTATTTTTTTGGAAGCTATATATATCTTTTATATTTATTTGCTTGAGTCTTATCTTTTGTGTCTTTTGTTGCTTTAGTTCACTTTTTAAGAATATATGCTATAACTTTTGAAACAATTGCAATAGCTATTGAGAAAGACTATTTTGACATCAAAATGACAGGTGAGATTTCAGATTTTGTAAAAGCCATATTGTTTTACAAAGCAATTACCAACTGCTTTTTAGGAAAACAGTTGCCAATTTTGAGGAAACTGTCAATATGCCAGATAGTTCATCTTAGCAGATGTATTAACACAGGGTGAAATTCTCTGTACAGATGGGCAATGAAAAGCTTCTTCTTTAGTGTCATGGAGGCTGGATTCATACTGTGTCTCATTTTGACTAGAAGGCACTCAGTCTGTGGGGGGTTTTTGTCAGTGCTTACAAATCTGATGTGTTATGGGGACAATACAGAGTAACTGATGTCAGTTGGTTTGTTTTGTGGATAGGTGTAAGAACTAACAAACTAGAACTTCCAAGAAGATAAATGCAATGATTGATACCAAGTCTTACTATAAATGTCTAGTTTGCTCAGAGGACCATTGTATATATGACGGTTTTAAAAAATAAGTTTTAAATCAAATATTTCTGAGTACTATTAGTACATTTTACTTGATAGCTATGGTTAATTGAAGCAAATTCAGTGATTTGAGACCAACAGTAGGCTTGTTTGACTTGACTTAAAACAATTCCAAGAAATAATACCAAAAATGCAAATTCAGCATTGATATTTGGACATTTTTTACTATTTTTTGACATAACTTAAGAAATCTGCTATTAAAATATGTGGTTATTTTACTTTAGTGGCACTTTGAATTATTTATGCCTGTTTAAAGAAAAATAGATTTTTTTTTTTTTTTAGAGAAAATGTGTGCAGTAATTTCTGCTTTCTTTTGCTGTTACTCTGATTTGCCTCGTTGATCAGCATGGTCAGTCCTGAAGTTAGCAATTGCTTAGATGAGATTAATTAGATCAGCATGGAAATAGCGCATTTAATCTTTGAGCTGTTAGAGAGCAGTAGTGAATAATTGATTGAATAGTAAGTA